GGCTAACGGTAGCCCTGGCTGCTGCAGACGGGATAACGGTAGCCCTGGCTGCTGCAGACGGGCTAACGGTAGCCCTGGCTGCTGCAGACGGGCTAACGGTAGCCCTGGCTGCTGCAGACGGGCTAACGGTAGCCCTGGCTGCTGCAGACGGGCTAACCTCAGCCCTGGCTGCTGAAGACGGGCTAACCTCAGCCCTGGCTGCTGCAGACGGGCTAACCTCAGCCCTGGCTGCTGCAGACGGGCTAACGGTAGCCCTGGCTGCTGCAGACGGGCTGTCGGGGTCCTCTCAACTTCTCTCATTAAATTAGTAAATGGGCCATATAGTGAAGCTTAAAATAATAGAATGTTCTCACCTTAAATCATCTTAAATTGTACTTTTACAGAACAACAGCAACAGAAAATAGAACTTTTAACTTAATACTCTGAGCTCTGTGAGCGCTAACCCGGAAGCTGCTGCTGCTACCGCAGTGCATGCTGGGACAGCTGTCAGTCTGGAGAATGGACAAGTCTGCTCTGATGCATGCTGGGTAACGAGGGAGGGGAGAGAACATCATCTTGTTTGTTCGTTGTCTTATGTTCTTGTGAATTGGAACAGTGCTAGGGCTGAGGCTGATGACGTTTCACAAGGACACGAGAACACACAAGTCCACAGATCGAGAAACGGCCAATGATTCAAGATCATCTAATTTTACATCTATTTGTATTCACAGTATGGGGCTAACAGTTGCTCTGCCTCATGTCGGCCTTTTTTACGTTAACATGATCAACAGCTTTTTGGAAAACTGCCTTTAAAGTCTGGAGAAATGTACAGACTGATGTTTACAGTTAGTGAAGGGGACTCTGCTGATGGTCCACAGCTCTGTAATCATCCCATCAGTCCTGCTCTTCACCTCATGCATGACAGTGATCAAACAGAGTTCAGCAGCTGATGTTAAGCTCTTGGTCATGTTTACGACACACGGGCCTTACCTTTGTAATTGTGTCATTATCCACTGTGTCAGCTCCAACTTCTTTGTTGACATAGAGCAGAGCATAAAGGTATCCAGCTCGACCGTACAGCAGTTCGTCTGGCATCTCAGCATCTGGAGTCAGGACTGAGCGCTGCAGCTGAAGGAGGCTGAAGGAGACCCAAAGAGCCGGAGGAATCATTTAGGAGCAGAGTAAAGTTAACACAGAGACACTCCTCCCACAGAAAAAACGATCCAACAAGGAGTAAAAAATGCCTTAAAGGGAATTGACCCCCAACCCATAGGTAA